CTGTAGTGTCTTCAACAGCAGAAGCAGGACACTGGCAATGAGAGAAGGGGTTGCACAGTTTTCTCAGGCTAGGGTGGGTGCCCTCACGTCACTGTGTGAAGCTGGGTGTCCAGAAGAGACCCCGGATAACATTTACAGCTCTAGGGTTCTCAGGAACACTTATCTCAGGTGTCGAAATGAACCCAGCCTCATCTTCATTAGTACTTTGTAGCAAGATAATTACTGTTTATTTGCCAACTGCTTTTCTTTGTTTGTTTTTAGAGATTTAGGGTGCTACGGGGTGAGTGCCCTGGTCGGAGAGTCAGAGAGTGAGAAATCACTCCAAAAGGGAGATGGCCATGCTGCAATCCTTTCTCCATTTTCTTCCCAAGACTTTGGACACACACACACACACACACACACACACACACACACAAGCGAGTTTAAAGCAGATGGGTCCAGGACTCAAACTGTGCTCGACTACAATGGGGGTGGGGGTGTCCAGCAACATAATCATTATGCTATCTGTTGGTCTCAGTGTCTTTTGGATTTTGTTTCTTGCTTTGCGTTTTGTTTTTAGAAAAGTGTTGTTATCCTTATTTCACAGTTGAAAAAGCAAATGAAAGATTAGTATTAGTAACAAATTTGCATTCAAAGAGACACAAACTTCTCATTCTCTCCCATCATCTGCCATTCAAGGACTCTAGACTTGGGCACAGAAAGTGATCCTCCTGCCATGAACAAGCTGAAGGCACATGCTCCACTCAGCTGGTTAACTCTTCCTGTCCCGGGGTGTTCCTGAGTCATATCTTGAGTGTGCTGCAGATATTTATTTATTTATTTTTTTACTATTGAGGCATATTTCTAAAACAAAGCTAAGTCTTTACCTTACTCACTTATTTCAGTTACACTTTAGAAAATATTTATATTTACATTTAATCACCATACATCTTTACAGTGTACAAAACATGTGTTTTTCTTCCCATCTCGAATACGGTGCATATCAGTCATGACAAAGACATTATTTTATACATTATCATCAGCAAATAACTTTTCATTTTTGTGTCAATTAGATGTATTGTTTTTTCCTGAGTCCCTCCCTCCCCCCATTATCCACCCTCTACTACTTTCCCCTGCCGTAATCCATAATCTCTATTATCCACAGTGCCTTCTCTGCTATCAGACCTTCCAGTCTTTCAGTTTCTGCTGTAGAGCTCAGACATTCAATATATATATATTTTTTTTTGAAAGACTTTTGCCATAGGGTGCGTGCACTTGCCAGAAAGACAGAGAGAAACAGAGAGACAGAAAATGAGAAATCACCCCCCAGGGGGATGGCCACACCACAATCCCTTCTCCATTCTCCTCTTGGGATCTTGGGCACGCACACACCCATGAGGTTAAGCCACCGGGTCTGGGACTCGAACTGTGGTCAACTACATGGGAGTCCAGCAACATAGCCATTATGCCAACTGCTGGTCCCAACATTCTATATATCTTGAGTGGGGACATACAATGCCTGTCTTTCATACTCTGGCTTTCTTCATGTAGCATTCAGTCTTCCATATTCGTCCACTTTGTATCAAATGTCAGGGTCTCACTGTTGTCTGAGTGACTAGTGTTCCATAGAGTACCTATGCCACATCTTTTTCAATCCACTCATCTACTTTTGAACATTTAGGGTGACAACATCTGACCTGCGTCTCAGACCTGGTTTAGGTGTCAGACCTCTCCTCACTTTACAGGCGAACCACTGTGCCCATGCTTCACCAGTTTGCCTGCAGTCGCATTAGCAGCACCTTTTTGCTCCCTACCTGTAGGCCGGGATCTGTGAAAGCACTTTGAAAGGTAAAGAAACACTCTTGAGGTATTTATTACAGGAACACATTCCCACCTCACCACCACCTTCCCCCTCCTTTCTTCCCAGCTCTGGGACGCTCAGACCTCCCTTCCTGAGATGTTTGCAGACAAGAGTGCCAGATCCGAGTTCTGTCCAGACCCCGGTTTACTGTGCATTTGTTTACAGGAGAAATATTTTAAGGTAGAGGAAGAGGAAGTTTACCAAGGATGTTTAATGGGATCTTGTAAACATGTGCATTCTGGTAAGTGCTGACATTTCCGTTTCTTGTCTCTCTATTTTACAGTACTGGAAAGATGGTGCCCTCTCTGCAGGTTCGGAAGTATTGCCAGCCATGAAGACACCACGCTCTGTAATACTGAAGCCATGTGGGAAGATCCTGGGTTTGGATCCTGAGATTCCCTGAACATACCCGGCATGTGTGCAGGAGACTGGTGGGCTGAGGTTGGGGGGGGGGAGATTGTGGTGAAGACCCTGCTGGGGCTGCTTCTCTCTCTCATGGAAGAAATAAACTTACAAAAGAGAGAGAGAGAGAGAGATCAGAGAAGTGTACACTGTGCTGTTCTAAGCTGGACTAATAGACCAGCCTTTCCAAAATCTGTCTTTCCCTTCTTTCTTACCAACAGAACCCTTATTTGGTTCAAGGCAGCCATAAACCCAACTACAATATAAATGCTCGTCTTCCCAGACTCCCTTGCAGTTAGGGGTGGTCATGTGACCCACTGCTGGCCAGTGAGCTCTTGGGTGGAAGTTACTAGATAAGAGTTTCTAGAAACTTTTCTTAAAGGAGAAATTCCCAGCCGGCACTTGCCCTTTGGGTTATCTCTCTCTCTCTCTCTCTCTCTCTTGCTTGAAACTCAGACTCAACATCTAAGCATCCACCTTGTGCCCATGAACACAAGAGCCATTTGCAAATGACAAGAGCAGGAAGACAGAATGGCCCCTCAGTTCTTGGCAGCATCAGGGGGTCACTTCGCCCAGGATTACCTGCCTGTCAACGGCTTATGTAAAAAACAATTACTTGGGGTTGGCAGGTGGCACGATGGTTAAGGGCACTGGACTCCCATGTGGTCAACTGAGGTTCTAGTCCTGGACCTGGTGGCTTTCTTTCTTTCTTTTTCTCTCTGTCCTTTTCTGGTCAAATTAAAATAAATAAAGTTAAATAAAATAATTATTTAAAAAATCAATTACTGCAGGATTCCACCTCGGACATTCCTCCGAATGCAAAGAGAAACACAAGGAAAACAGAAGAGAGGTGAGAGCAGCTCCATTCCTCCAAATGCAAAGAGAAACACAAGGAAAACAGAAGAAAAAAAAGCATAAGGAAAGGAGGAAGGGAAAGAAAATGCAGAAAAAAGTCAAGCCCAAGTGTTCCAAGTCAAACGAGAGTTCAGACTGAGTGACAAGGACTTCCCTTGTGGAACATTGTCTCCTTCAGAATCAAACACGTGGCCAAGGGACAGAGGAGAGTGCAGCTGGAGAGTAACGGGAGGACACCGCGAGGGGAGTAGGTCGGCAGCGCCGCTGTGACTCTGCTTACTTCCAGGGAAGACGGAGCACAGCAGAGTGGTCTGTCTCCTGGCAGGTGCAGCTCAGGTGGTGTCTGGTTTCCGGCAGGAAAGTTTTCAGCGCCCTCCTCCGGGCGACCACAGAGTGTGGCTCCTTTGCAGTTGCACCTGCACCGTGGCAGGAGGGGGCACCTGGAAGATAGCTCCTCCGGGCACTCACACTGGGGAGACTCGGTTTCCACAGACTTTAAGCTTGACTCTTCCTTGTTGTTAAGGATAATAAAGCTCACTATTTTAAAGGTATGTGTACATTTATGGGTAATACAAGCACATGTATTACCAATTTCAAAAGATATGTATGTTTTTTGTTCTGTTTTGTTTTTAGAGGTTTTTGCCTTAGGGTGTGTGAGCTCACTAGAGAGAGAGTGAGAAATCACCCCCCCCAGGGGGATGGCCATGCCACAATCCTTTCTCCTCCATTCTTCTAGGATCTTGGGCACGCACATTACATGCACCCGGAGTGAATTCCAAGCCACTGGGTCTGGGACTTAAACCGTGGTCGCCCCTGTGGGAATCTAGCAATATAATTGCTATGCCATCTGCTGGCCCCAGGACACGTAAATTATAATGATGAAAACTTGGGGCCAGAAGGTGACGTGGTGGGTAAGGGTGCTGGACTCCCACATGGCTGACTGTGGTTCAAGTCCCTGATCTGGTGGTTTGCTTTCTCACTTTTCCTCTCTCTCTCACTCCTTCCCTCACTGGTCAAGTTAAAAATAAAATAATAATAATAATAATAGGTAAAGTTAAAAATAATTCTTTTAAATAAATGACAATTCTTCCTTGGTCAATTCCCTTCCCTAATGGTTACCATTTTTTTTTTAAAAAAAAGAATTATTTTATTTATTATTATCCTTTTTCAATTTGATGAGAGAGAGAGAAAGTGAGAAAGCAAGCCACCAGGTCCAGGACTTGAACCGTGGCTAACCTGTGGCTGCCCATGTGGGAGTTCAGTGCCTCACCCTCCACATCACCCACCAGCCCCAATGGCTACCATGGTTACCAAGTTCTTGTCAAGTCTTCCAGACTATCACCAAAAAAAAAAAAAAATTGCTTTTGTTTATGCAACTGCTAAACACGTTAATCTATATACTGTTTCATCTTAATTGTAATGGTATAAAACTATTTTAATATCAAATACATGTGACCTTCTTGCCCATAAAAAAGGTTTATGTTTAGGAGAAAAAAAATCAATGAAACAAACACATACATCTAGTGGGCTGATCTGTTGTACTGAAGATACTGTCCCAATGCCATCACAGACGACCTTAACTGACAGGCTGTGAAGAAGATTCTTGTGCTGTGATAGTGAATGTGTGTAAACCGACCAGAGTCCCTTTGGAGCAGTGATGCTGAAGCCGCCATGGGCATGCTAGCCACGTGAGAACCTTGGTAAACACTGGTACATCCGGAGGGGGGCCTGAGAGTCCCCATTTCTCACTAGCCTGCAAGTAACACCGACGGGGCTGGTCTTGGACCGCATTCTGCTCAGCAAAGATCTGGAAAACGACAGCTGTGTTGGTCAGTCAGTTCTACTGTTACTCTTTGATAGGCTTATCATTTGGTAAAAAAAAAAAAATCTGTAAAAGACTGTGTTTTCAGCAAAAAGTTAAGGTTTTATTTAGAATGATCATTTCAGAGACAAAAGCAGTTCGTTGTATTTAGCAAAATACATTTCACAAGTACGTTTAAATAAAATAAATTCAAAAGATTCTGTGACTCTTCTTAGTCGCTTGCTTTCCTGCCAGTTGGAATTTCTGTCTTCTAGCCTGAGTATTTTCCTGGATGCTGCAGCCATAAACCAAGGCACTGTTTTATGGAATTCCAATGGCTCAAGTACCCTCTGCACTCACTTAACCATCCAGGGATTCAGTGAAACATAAGGAAAACGACTTTGGGAACCATGACTAGAAGATTCGGAAGGAAATGTTTTCCCCTGTCTGTCATGGTAGCTTTTCAACGGAGGCCTTGCTTGCTCTCAATGGATGGTGAAAGCAAATCGTTTTGGGGAGACAATGGTCAAAAGCAAACTTAGGTGGCTGCTGCCTCATTTGTCACCATGGCCCAAAGGGAAATGCAAGGCACCCACCTCCCCAGCCAAGCCGGAGCTCTGCACAGAAGCTACTCATTTTCTCTTCTAGTTATGTACATTAAAAAAATACAGCACTGTGTTAAATAGCAGGACAGCTAACAATGGGACAGGCGATGCCGCCGTGAAAATCCACAGCTCGAGGTGAGGAGAGAGTCAGCAGATGGTCTTCCTGGCCCCGCTGCCAACGCCGCTGTGTCCTCAGTCTGTAACAGACCTGCACTCCGAGGGCAGGCCTTCCGACTGCCGCCACTGGGCCAGACGCTGCTTAAACCATTTCTGAAAGAAGGAAATGTGCAAAATTATTTGTCACGTACAGAGGGCTGACGTGCCTCTCCCTTTTCTAAAAGGTAACCTCTGTGAGCCACGTAGAAAGGAGGGAAGAAAGGAATGTGTCCATCATAGTTAGCTTCACGCTAACCTCTCCTGCCTCAGGGCCTTTGTGCATGCCTTCAAAAAAAAAAAAAAAAAGAAAAGAAAGAATTATTTTGGGGACCAGTTGGCATAATGGCTGTTGCTGGATTCCTGTGTAGTCAACTGCGGTTGGAGTCCCAGGCCCGTGGCTTAAACTCACACTGTGTGTGTGTGCGTGCGTGCCCAAGATCCCGAGAGGAGAATGGAGAAGGTCTTGTGGCGTGACCATCCCCCCAGAGGGTGATTTCTCGCTTTCTGTCTCTCTGTCTCTCTCTGTCTTTCTGGTGAGCACACACACCCTATAGCAAAAGCCTCTCAAAAAAAATTATTTTATTCAACTTTATTTATTTATTTATTTATTTATTTTAATTTGACCAGAGAGAGAGAGAGAAAGTGAGAAAGAAAGCTACCAGGTCCAGGACTTGAACAGTGGTCAACCATGTGGGAGTCCAGTAGCCTCAACCACCACACCACCTGACAGCCCCACACATGCCATTTCTTTTTCTTTCTTTCTTTTTTTTTTGGAGAGGTTTTTGCTATAGGGTGCATGTGCTCGCCAGAAAGACAGAGACAGAGAGACAGCGAGAAATCACTCCCTAGGGGGGATGGCCACATCGCAATCTCTTCTCCTCCATTCTCCTCTCGGGATCTTGGGCATGCACGCACATGCGCCTGGTGTGAGTTTTAAGCCACCGGGTCCAGGACTCAAACCGCAGTCGACTACATGGGAGTCCAGCGACATAGCCATTACGCTAACTGCTGGTCCCCACACGCCATTTCTGATGCTTAGAATATTCCATCTTCCTTCTTTGTCTGATGACGTCTCTCTCATCCTTGGGGCTCAGCTTCACTAGACCCTTCTCAATGATGCCTTTCCTGAGCTCTTACCACTAAGTGGGTTCCCAGCTCATTTCTTTCTCCTGAGGTCAGCACTTTGTTGCCCTCACGGAACCTTTAATATGATTTTATTATTCTTTATTTTATTTGCTTGTGTATTGTCGTTTTTATTCTACACACCCTTCTAGAACATAAGATCCATAGAAGCAGGGACTGTTTCCATCGACCACCATTGCATCCTCAGCCCGTAGCAGGAGTACTTGAGAGGTGGAGATTAACCCATGTTTGTTGAGTGAATAAAAGAAGTTGAAGTATCTCTTTGATGTCCCAGAGATATCTTAACGGCTGCTATACCTCATCTTGTGAGCTGATCTCGCGAAGGACTTTGCTCACAGGTAGAGCTTAGTATGAAGGCATTGAATAAAACAGGTAACTCAGCACTAAGAACCCCACTTCTTAAGGATACAGGGAGTAGGTTGACCCAGGGCCACGGAGCAGTGAGAGAAGAGAGTGGCTGCCAGTTCACTAAGAATCTTCTAGTTCTTCATGACCCAAATAGTCACACCTCACAAAAGTGACCATCAATTTAGAGAAAGCCCCAGAGGGGATGTTTTAGACATGGTAACATGTGGGGCCCTGCAACTGAACGTTACAAGGCATTGTGGGATACTCTCCTCTCCGCAAGTCAGTGGCTGCTTTCATTATGCTTCTGAGGGGTCAAAGGAACCCCTCAAAGAAGAGATTAGGAGACCCATGCCGGGGCAGGGTGTGGGGAGAGGGGAATAGAGCTGGCATCTGGACCAGGTTTGTCAGGAGGAAACTCGGATGGACACACAACTTTGAAGAGGGACTGGTGCAGAAGGGGTTGCTCCATGCCGGAGAGGGTGAGCTTGGACCCAAGTTCGGTCCCCTTACCGTGCTGCCCCACCTTTCACATGTCATGGTGCTTACTGAGAATGATGGCAGCTGCGTCACACTGGCGTGAACAGGCAAGCTTGGGTGGGTGGACCCTGGGGCCCTTCAGCCCTGGGCCCTGCCAATGGGAAGCTCTATTGTAACTAACTGGCTGTGTGAGCTTGAGGTCCCTAAAAATAGAATGCCAATTAGCTCCTCTGTGAATAAGGAGGTCAGCTTAGGGGGCTCTCCACTGTCCCTTGTGGGTTCACCAAGGACATGAGGGGACAGGAGGGAGCACAAAGAGCACAGCTGGGAGACACCAGTCCTGGGGTTGCTGACGTGGGCGATCCCCTGGGAAATGGCTGACCTGGGCCACGGCCTGTCCTCCGAACTAATGGGTTGCTCTAAGGCCACACTGGGGGAGACCTCATCTCTGCAGAGATCTACGGAGCTGAGACGGAGTTGCGCATAAGCACAGGATCCAAAGAAAGGGAGAGCACCAGGGGAGAGAAGTCCCTCCAAGGAGTAGGGCCTAGACAGGCCATGGAGCTCTGCAGGCCTGCTCAGGGCCCCGGACTGATGCTAAGCCAGTTGGACAGCAAGGGCCTGTACTACAATCCGCCTACCCACAGGACAGAATGTACACGCTGACATGCTCACACGTCGTCCAGGTCAGCTGTCTACCTGCTGTGGGGTGGCACCAGAGAAAAGGAGTCGAAAGCCTGGGGTAGCAGACTACTGTGAGGGAAAACTTCTGCTTGGGGGTTGCTCTCTGGGTGCCATATTTTACTGCTGGGGATCACGTGCCCAAGGAGGGGAGGGGAGAGGAGGAGAGAAGAGAGGAGAGGAGAGGAGAGGAGGAGAGGAGAGGAGGAGAGGAGAGGAGCGGAGGAGAGGAGAGGACTCTTGTAACTCTGGTGGCTTCCAGCATAGTTCTGCTAACGTGGGCACACGACCTTCTGTAATCCTGAGTGTTCAGTGAACTCTGGATTCTGGGTGCACAGCTCCAGATTCACTAACGAGGCAGCTCTGGGGTGGGAGCATTTCAAATCTGCAGGGTCTGATGAAACAGAATGTCCAGAACCAGAGCTGAACAAACGGCAGCATTTTAAAGCCTGTCTAATTAAAACCTAGAGGAGGAAAATCTCACTTTCTATCAGGATTCATTTAAGACAAAATGATTGAGCTGGCCTCATTCAAACGAGCCACCCACATCTTTCCACGACACAATGGAGCAGAATACTGATGGGCTGTTGCCCAAAATAGCTTCAGCAGGGACCTCGTTGGCGAATCCGTGAGCTGGCATCCAAAAGCTTAGCAAATGAAGCCCCAGCACTGGAGGATGGGAAGAGATTCAAGAAAAGCCCAACTATTTTTTTGAGGATAATATTTGAAAGCAAGTATACACATAGGAATTTAGCAAGCCAGCTGTCGTCCAACAGAAACAATAAAAAAAAAAACAATGCACTACCTCACTCGCTTGCCCGCCCTGAATCTCACGGCATCTCACTCTCATCAATATTAATTTTCCACCTGGTTTTGTCCTCCTCTGTTTCAGTCATCCCCTGGGAAAGACATTCAGCCCTCGCTTGCTTATAAATGAATGCCCTTATTATCTGCCTGTTGATGGAAATTTATCTCCTCTGAGGAGCAGATGATAATGAGCCGCTGTGACAGGGAGGGCCTGGAGCAAGACCGCATTGTCCTCGTCCTTTTCTCTAGTAAGTAACTTTTCATTCTATGGCGGGAGAGACCTTTAGCCGTCTTTATTCACTGATAAAACATCCAACAGCTAAAACCACTGGGTTCTGGGAACAAGCCCAGGGCATGGAGGAGATAAAAACGCTGGGAAGCTCTCTAAGAACCAGTGCCAACTACTCCGGGCTTGACTCTTTGTGTGTGTGTGTGTGTGTGCGTGCGCATGCACGTGTGTGTGTGTGCGCGTGTGTGTACGTGCTCCCTAAGAGCAAACACAAAACATACTACCCTCTCAGGGGACTGATCAGAAAA